CACACACACACACACGTCAGCATATATGACGACGTTCAAGCCTGCAAAATACAGACAAGCACGGATACACACGTGTGTGTAGTTGACGCACACACCCAACGTTCCTACTCACCTAAACACACAGACCAAATGTCTCACGTGTACATCCCCCCCCCCCCCTCTCTCTCTCACACACACACACGCACACAAAGTGACAGACAGACAGGAAGGCCAACGAGGCAGCCTGGAAATCTGTAGCTCTGCAAATAATTTGCTGTCCAAGCACTGCCGGCACTCCTCCGTTCGATCCCTATGTCTCTCTGTCTCTCCCTCCATCTCCACCTCTGTAACTCTCTCTGTTTATGTCTTTCACTCTTACATCTCTTTTATATCGGATCTCTTTATTCATCTGCTGTTTATTATTGTCTTTCGTTTTTATGCTTTTCTCTTTCTTTTTCCAGGTCAGTGGACCATTTGATGGATTGGCATTATGAACTATGATCTGCTTTTTAACTTGTCTTTTACTCTGGTTTATGACCAACTCCTTGCAGAACTACTAACATTCCCATAATCCTCAGCTGTAGTCTGTGTTTCCTGCTAATTAGCAAATATTAGCATGCTAACATGCTAATCTACAATGGTGAAAGTGGTTAACAATCATTCACGTGTTTTATTCCTTCAGCCTTCCTTCTGTATCTGTTTCTTTCTGTCCCCTCTGTTTTCGCTATCTCTCACTTATCATCTGTCGTACTCGTCCAGTATCTCTTTCATCCTCTACCTTTATGTCAGTGTTTTTTTCTCTCTCCCAAGTTACTTTCATCGTTCTCTTTTTTTTGGTCTCTTTCTGTCTTTTCCTTTGCTTTGCTTGTTATCTCTCATTTTGTTGCTCTCTCAATCCAATTTCATGCAGCTATTGTCTTTCTCTCTCGTTTCTTTCTCTCTCTCTCTCCCTCACTCTGTCTCTCTCTCCATCCAATTTATTTTGTTCTTTCCTCAGGCGTTGTCTCCGCCTCAAGCTTCCAATCTATCAAATCTATATGAATCCTCTCCTCTTCCTCCTCCTCCTCTCCACTCCTACCTCCATCACTCCTCTTTTCTCCTCCCCTGTATTCTTTCTGCTCCTCTTTATCCTCCTCCCCCTCTCCTCCCACTGGTCCTCCTCTCCTTTCCTCCCCTCTCCGCCAAAAACTCTACTATCTACAAGGCCACAGTTGGACCGCCGAGACCCTGAGCATTTGTGAAAAGAGCTTGTGTGTGTGTGTGTGTCTGTGTGTGTGTGTGTATAAAGTCTTAGAGAATTGCTGCCAAGTGTGATGGTGAGCCAAGAATGAACCCAAGGAGAGAGACTCGCACACAGAGAAATTAAACTGTTACACACACTTCATTTGAACCTCTTTTAAATGAATATTACAGGTCAGTGGATGAAACGCGGTGATCAGCAGCAAGAAGGAGTCGGAGCCAGAGGTCTGTAATTTTCACCAGAGGTAGCTGCAGCGATTTTAACATTTCTGCAGGTCAATCAGGAAACTGTTATGCGATCATGTCCCCAAAATGAACAATTTGCAGGGTTATTTCAGAGAAGCCCCGGTGGAATTTAACTAAGTCCTGTACTTAAGGATTTGAGGTGCTTGAGTATTTTCTTCTCATGCCAGTTTATACTTCTACCCTATTACATTTCATAGTTAGTCAATTAATCAATTACCAGACAATTCACTGGCAGCTATTTCTGACTAAACAAGTATTTGTTTAGTCATTTTTCATGCAAAAATGCCAATTCTATGGTTCCAACTGTGACAATGTCTGCTTTTTTCCCATCACTTTTAATTATTTTAATTTATTTCTAATAATTTTGAGTTTTGGACTGTTGGATGGAAGAAACAAGCTTTGTGAAGGTGTCACTTTGAGATCTTGAGACAGCATTACTCACTTTGACAAACCAATCAATCAATAGAGAAAATATTTAGAAGATGAATCCATGACTTATGTATGGATTTGAAGGCAATCTGAACATATACTTGATTTTCTTCTCATGCCAGTTGACAGTTAGCTACAGTTAGTTGACAGCTTTAATTGGCCTACTTTAAAGTATGAAGTGCAGCTGTAGCAGTTAGTCAATTAATCAATTATGGACAATTTACTGGAAACTATTATTTTGATGATTTTTTTGGTCATTTTTCATACAAAAATGCCAACAATTTCATGATTCCAATTTCTCAAATGTGACAATTTTCTTTTCTTTTTGCTTTTATCCTGCCCCTTTTAATTATTTTAATTAATTTCTAATAATTTTGAGTTTTGGACTGTTGTGTTGACATGTGAAGATGTCACTTGGGTCAAAATTTCTCACAATGAAAAACCAATGAATCAGTTGATTAATGGAGAGAATAATCAGCGGATAAGTCCATCTCCAAAATAATCATTAGTGGCCGTCTTATACAAAATAGTTCAATATGAGCTCCACCTCAACCAACTACAATAGTAAAATTATACTTACATACTTTCACTTAAGTATAATTTTCAATGGAGAACTTGTATGGTACCAGTAATAGGAATAATGCAGAAGTTAGAATTTTAAATGTGACTAGTTTGTTCATCCAACAAGTCAAGTGTTCAAGCATGTGGTTTTTGTCCTGAATACAACAAGCTCTACACATCGAATGGTTGAGATG